AATGACTGGCCTGTATACTGTGATAGAGAAATAACACGGTGATAAACAATGACTGGCCTGTATACTGTGATAGAGAAATAACACGGTGATAAATAATGACTGGCCTGTATACTGTGATAGAGAAATGACACGGTGATAAACAATGACTGGCCTGTATACTGCACACAGAACACAGAGAAATGGCACGATGAAAAGAATGATGTTTTGAAACAGAAACAGTCGGTCACATTTACCACAATTACTTACCTGGAAGCTCAGTCCACGAGGGTTGGCTGTTTCTAAAAACTATTTTCTCGACACTGTGTATTATATTAATTCATTATGATCTAATCTAACCTAAACAAATCTAATCTAATCTAATCTAATACAATATGATACGATGTGATACTACAGGCCTACTCTACTAAAATATATTTAGATAATATATAATAAACTAATATAATAATGATAACAGAAATATTACGACACTTTTTGAAAGAAAAATAATGATAACAGAAATATTCCGACACTTGTAGAAGGTAAAATAATGATAACAGAAATTAGCCCGAGGGGGGGGGACCTGCTCGAATTGTTGTTGCTGTTCTAACAACAATGACCTACTTCTAACCCACTGTTGTTGTTTAAAACAGTAAACAGTTCACAACATGGCCACAAAGTCAAACTGAATCAAACCGCTCTGAAAATGAAAGTTTTCATTATTAGCACAAAAAACACGGATGGACTTGAAGAAAAAACACATGGTTATAATGTCCAGAGCAAGAAGCTCCAATTGATGTAAGATTTGTCACTGAAATACTCCAAATAGCAAGAAAAAATATCACAAAAGTCACAGCTGAAAATGTGCTGCCTGGAGGCGCAACAACAACACACTATTATTATTATTATTATTATTATTATTATTATTATTATTATTATTATTATTATCATCATCATTATCATCATCATCATTATTACACCATTTACCGTTGCCGAACCCCACGAGTGAAGGGACGTCGGAGTGCCAGTTGTAGGAGTCCATGATGAACTTGTTCAAGTTGAACGGCAGAAACAGCACGCTGAACAATTTCTGGGGAATGTCAACAAAGTTATAGTAATATGTATTACAAATATAAAGTAATATAATAAACTCGATAATGATAAGTGCTACAATGTTAATGGAAAGATGTATTGAAGCACAGAAAGATCTGTATTTATGCTTCATAGATTATTCAAAGGTCAAAGCCTACTCTTATCGATTTTAGACCACCAGGGGATCTTATGCGCAACTTGCACATGGGTCCTCCGAGATTTATCGCCTTTGTCCGAGAAGGCTAGGTGTAGATCTTTCCTACCAAAAAAATCAGGAGTGTGTCTGAAAGGCAGCAGTAAGAAGGAACCAAAGAGTAGCAGTAGAAAGGCTGCAGAGTCAGGAGCCCAGAGGAGGGGGCAAAGGAGGTGAGGGAGTG